TGTGCGAGACATTTTTCTTACCTGTTCTTTCACTGCTCCGCCTGCCGAGGCTGCGTAGACCTGAAGTTCCTCGTTGGAGGGGTTGTGTTGGTTCCATCTGTAAGCACCCAGAGATCATCCTCATCCAGCCTCTCAGGGGTCAGCGCTCAGCACAGCTCTGAAGAGCTGCAGTATTCATTTTGACTGCTAAAAGTGAAATTGTTGAGCCGCACAGTTTTGACAGCCTGGGGCTTGGTGTTCCTGGAGATGAGGCTGAGGACAGTTCAGTTTCATGGAAACATGTGAAATGGCTGTGGGGTTTTTACTGTTGTGTACTGTGTTAATGGACAAATAAAGTGAAGACTTGTGTGTTTATGTAGCTTCTTACACAGGATTAATGTGTCCATCACCTGTTTCTGTGTCCTGGGAATCAGGCTGCAAAACCTTGTCTTGCAGAGTAGGTGATTTGTATCCACCTGGAAGATATCTGGCATATTGTTCATGCTTACATTAGCAAGGTTGACAGAGAGCTACCGTTTTGCCAGAATATAAATGAGACATGCAAGAAAAGGGAGGATTATGTACTGGAAAAAGGGACATCATGCTTAATATAAATGAGAACTACAAGGAGTATGCCATCATTATTAGAGAATAATATAAGGAAGGAAATGGCTAGTGGATAACAGACATGATAGATCTGAGCATTTCTGAGTTTCAAGACGATACCGAAACTAAGAGATGCTTAGTCTATCATTTACATCTCTCCTGGAAAGGTTACAAAAAGTGACAAACATGACATAAGGACTCATTCTCTACATAATATGCTGATTTAGTTGTTTGTTTTTTTTTTCTAAAGAACCTGTGTGCTATTTAATCAAAAAGGTGCCAAAGGCCATAAACTGGGCTAAAGTGTTCAACAGTTGCCAGAAAAATACCGCAGAATGCAAAACCGAGCATTTTTCTTTCTTTCTTCATCTGAGACCTTCAGTGAGCTCACCTAATGTATGTGAATTTAACAGATGAAGAGAGAAGTTCTTTGTAGCTCTGAGTGCTAGGGTGGGTTAGGAGACACCGAAGGTGTAAGTGTATGGTACCTGTACTACGCCTAAGGGAAATGCTGTTTCTTATGATCCAAAGTTTACTTTCAAAATAATGGCGCTTTCCCCATGATGTTTTGGTCAAGTTGAGAGGAAGTTTGTGATCCACGAGAACTAAAATTCAAATATCCAGTGGACTATTGTATAGTTGGGAATGAGCAAAAAAGGGCCTTAAAAATCACATTTTTACACATTTTATTTAGTATGTTTAAATACCTGCATTGTTGTAAAGCTCTGTCTGTATCAATAGCTATACAGGCACAGAAACACAATGCTACACACGTCCCTGCATTGTTCTGAGACTAAACAAACCCAAAAATATCACAAAAAATTGTCTTTGCAGCAAGGACTGGGGAACAGGACACCCTGTGTTAAAACAGGGCAACACAGCTGGGGCAGTGGAACTTATTTCAGTGTTGAGGAAAAGGGGTTAGAAATCAATCTGAGGGGAATCAAGAGGGCTGAGAGGCTTCCTGAGTTCTGCTACTTTACGATCCAGCCTTTAAACAAAACCTGGTGGTGTAGGAGCTGCTGAGGTAGGTCAGACCACTCACTGGTCTAGATAATCTGTGAGCTGGTCTCCTTTGGCGTTAATGCCGTAGGCTTCAGAAGAGGGTATGGAAGAACCCCACAGCTGCAGTGAAGGGTTTCCATGAGGAGCCCTTTCTTTCTGGATAAGGGATGGAATAGGGATCCAAGCACTGCATGCAGGTTTGAATGTTAAATCTGAAGGTGCAGACTCCCAGAAAAGCATTTAAAACCCTATAAATAAAAAGTATCCAAGAAAGAAAAAAACAGTCAGTCTTTATTACTCAAGCTTTTGAGAGCAATTAGGATAAAACAGAAATCTTGCCTACTAGTAACGTTTTAATACTGCTTTGCAGCTCTTCCATGCGTTGTGGGGGAGTGGAGTCACTGGAGTGGCTGTGCAGAACAATGTCAGCCTGGCCTGCGGATACGTAGGCGCTATGTACAACAGGAACCAAAAAACGGTGGGGAACCTTGTCCTGCTTTAGAGGAGAAGGCTGGCTGCCTGGAGTACCTGACTTACCAGGGAGAGGACTGCGGCCACGAACATGGTATTCTCTCTTTATCCATACATTGTGCCCATCAGTGCCTTCACAATTTTTATTGATGTCAGTGAACAGAAAAAAAAAGCAAGGGTCTATCTGCAGCAAGCTGGTTAAAAAGACAATTTAAACCTTACTTCCTACTGTCATATTGATCTTTATTCTGTTCTTACATGGTTTTCCTACTTAGGCTTTTCTTAATTTGTATTAAGTAAACAACTAAGCCGCATGCATTCCTTCGGTTTCTCGGTTGAAGTCCCTCAGTAAGTACCACATTATCTCTGTGCACAGCTAGAACACAAAGTCAGTACAGAACAGGAGCCAGAGCTCCTTGTAGGATTCTGGCACATCCTATTTCCTCACAGACTAGGTGGCATGTATTTCTAGATGTAGTTCTCAATAAGGAGAGCGCCTAGCTCTAGGGAATGGGGTTGAGGTCTGATGTTGCCAACATTTTATCATTTTTTCAATAAAGTCAGTCAGCATCACCATCCACAAGCTCCTGATTCATTCCCCCGCTGTTACTGTAATTGAAATATGGCTCAACTGTGTCTTGCTGCCTTACCGTAACTGTTTTCTTCCTCAGTCCCTGCTTTCATAACTACCTCTGAATATGGTAAAGAAAGAAAACGACGAGCAGCATCTTCCCTCTGGCCTTCAGACAAAGAAGCAGCTGGGTAATCTATTTATCATATGCATGTGGGTCATCTTGTTCAATAGAAAATAGCTGGCTGCAGAGAAAAATGTAATTAAATTTGCAGTAATTAAACAGTAAGCTATAGCTTGTACTGCTTTCTCTCTTGCAGTTCATTTGCACATTCTAGATGTTGTTTTTTATTACCTGCTAATTGTCCTGAATTAGACATTGGGGCCATGGCAAATCTGAGGACAGCTGCTTTTGAAAGCAAGCAGTAAATAATGCTAAACCAAAGCCGAATGTATCCGTAAGTGTAAGTCTGAGAAATGAGGCGCAGGTCTCTGAACAAACAAAGCAGGCTGAATGTCATCAGTCTCAGGAGACCTGTTTTTTAGATTAACTGACACAAGCAGCAAAAGATTTTGTTTGGTTACCAGTAGAGATGGTTATGAAGTTTAAATTAGGCTGTTACTGGGTCTGTAACACTCATAATGCTTTGCCCTATGCTACTTTCCCCAGAACAATAGCCCATTCCGTGTTCTTAAAACCTCTCTTCCATTTTCTCTTTTAGCAGCATGAAAGCAAAATATGGGTTACTGAGGCCTGTTTTTCAACATAATTTAAGATTACAGAACACACCCGGAAAGTGAGATTATAAATAAAGCACTGGGACTGGGGCATGGAACGAGAGATAGTTTGCATAATGTTTTTAAGAATCCATTAATTAGGTGAGGGTCAGAAGCAGACTTGTCAGCAATGATGTCTAGCTTGCACTTCACAAATACCACCCGTATGATACGTGAGTACATTTGAAGTGTATACCTAGCTCGCGCTTTATCTACCGTAACTAACTTAGTACTTTTCCTTCTGAGCAGGTATTGTGTGGAATTTAAAACAGAATCACTTTCACACCACTGTGCTTTGGAGAATCGGCCGTACGCTCGATGGATGCAGTACCTACGAGAGGGACACACCGTGTGTGTAGCTTGCCAGCCTCCAGCTATGAATACCGACACGCAGCGGTGTTCTGGAGATGGCCATAACGCAGATGGGTAAGGAAAGGCATTTTTCTGTTGTCTCTTCAGTTGCAAAACCCAGTACAGAAGTTAAGACTTCTCAAGGTCTCGTTAAAAGCTGCATTTATTATAGCAAAAAAAAATGAAACCGCTCATATCACTTGCAGACCTCAGAAGCTTTACCTTTTCAGTTCTCAACAAAATTGCTTTTAAAACCTAGATAAAATTGGAAATATTTTCTGTGTAAGATTTCAGTGTTTTGAATGTTTTATTTACTATTGCGAAGGGGTGACACCACTGGTGTAGTGCAAGAGGTCTATGGGCACTTTTACCTAAAAATGGTATTTCCTGCCATAATCCAAATCTGATTCCAAGTTTAACAGTGGTGGATGAGTAGTTCTCTCAAACCTATAAGCCTGGTTTCTAGAACAGCAATTTTGAAAGCAGACATTTAATATTCTGAACATATTTTTTATTTGATCTATACATTTATTAATATACATACAACTTAATACCTGTACAACCAGCTACTCAATCCACCATCCTGTATACTCCAGAAAGCATTTTAAGAGCTAGATGAGCTAATTAAAGTCTTACATTATTAAGCAAATCTAGTCCTCTGAGACGTTACACAACACCACCTAGTTACACGAAATAGACAGTTTCAGTGTTTTAATTCCTCATTTATTGTCACATTTCAGAGGTAAAATCTTACACTGGGAAGCAGTTGGCAACTCTCAGTGCCAAGGAACCTGGAAGAAGATTCGACAACTGGAACACTGTTCATGTCCCCTTGTGCATAGCTTTATTTTTACATAAACGTTTAAAAGACCTTTAAAATAGCAACAACAAAAAGATTAAGAAACTTAACACCAATGCCAAGAAACCTTCGTCTTTCTGCTGCATTTTCTGGAGCCTAAACAAACTTTAAAGGAGTCAGAACTTTGGAAGAAGCATTTGGGGAAACTCTCTCTGCCTTAATACAAAATGCTGACTGATCTTTGTATTAGAACACTAGAAGCACATTTCCATGTTTCTCTTTTATAATTAAAGAGCTAATGTTTGTAGCTGTAGTAGCTGCTTTTCCTGAAGTTCTCATTCTTCACTGGCCACAGTCCTGTCTACAGGCACTGCTCCTACTCAGTAGTGAGCCAGCCAAACACTCAAGGCTGAGAATAGTTACTGTCATTAAATAGCAAAGGTGAATAAAAATGAAAGTTTGAGAGCTACAACCAGATTTCAGTTTAGATCCTTTATTCCTTCCTGGTATCATCCAGACAGTTGTTTATACTATGAGTGGGCAAGTCTTCTCTACATGGCAGTTTTCATGTTCAGGCCCCTTCGTAGAGATGCATGACTAGGCAGCATTGTTATGGAAGCAGTCTTGCTCAGAACTTCATGTCACTAACACACAGTGTGAACTTTGACAGATGAACCTACACAAGGCTTTGTGACTAAAGCCTTGGCTAACATTAAAAAAAATTACTTATTACTAGTTAAAATTGCTCACGTACCATGATTAACACAGAAACCTGCAATATTAGAGCACTGGCAAGACTGCTTTGCTGGTAGCTCAAATCCTTGTTTTGTTACCTATTACTTACCTTGAATTATCGTTAGAGCATTAAAGAGGCTGCACACTGCACCTTCTCACTTGTCAGGTATCTGCTACAGCTTTTTAAATTGTTGGCTTATGGCTGCTCTAGCATTCCTTGCTGAAGGACAAAGCCCATGTTTTATCAGGATCCTGAAATTGGCAGTGTTTGCTAAAAAGAAATTATACCTTAGGGTTGAGAAAATTTACTATTAAGATGTGCAGCATTTCTGTGGAACCTAAAGACTACTGCTTGCCGCTGTTCCTAGCAGCTGCAAGAAGAAACCATAGAGTCTGGTGGCAAGAATGAGGAAGGTGACGGCTGAGGTACTGTCCGCAGTAAGAGCGTGAAACAAACCTTTATAACTGTACTTTACCATTTTATCTTAATGGAAGCAGGCTTCCAAACCAGAAAGCGGAGAGATTATCTTAATACTTCTGGAATATTTCAGCCTTCAAGAATATATCTCTTCCTTTGTAGCCAGGAAAAACATCTCAGAGAAGTTTACTTTGTTATGACCAGTTTGGACAGATGCTTTTCCTTTTAAGGTTCTTGTAAAATAAAAACCTTACCAAGGACAAAGGTACAGAAAAATCTGAATTGAAGAGATTTCACTTTTAAAAGAATGCTATGTTAGTTAAGTCACTAGATTCACACCAGTATGACAGTGGGAATTATGGATTTCCTGAGGTTGTGGAACTCTCCTCCACACAGTCTGGATCAAGAGACACAGCATCACCCACCTGTTACAGTCTCTCACAAGCAGGACATTTACAGTGACCAGATGACACCTTGATTGTTAGTTGCCCTGTCAGAGCATATCTTTGCTTGCTGTCACCACAGACAAGAGGCAGCAGAGAGCACAGATTAAAAATGTCTCATGAGCTGTGCTACCAGTGTCAGTACAGGCTTGTTACTGAGCCCCACTTTGGCCACTCGTTTTGAGCTTTCCCTTTCCTGCTGTCTTGAGAAGTGGCTTCTTCTAGACCAAGGTAGGTGGCACATCAAGAGATGTTAAGAGCTAGTATCGTACTGTTACTTTCCATATGTTTTCCATCTCTTCTGTGAGATAAAAAGTGCTATTATGTCAAGATACGCAAGTTCAAAATAACTTTCCACCTAGAACTTAGGCTTAATTCTTTAAAAAAAACAAACCAGCACCTTTACTACTTATAAATATAAAATTACATGGACCATCACATTTTTAACTGCAAAAAAGGAATCCATTTGTAAATTAGCAACACCAATACATACGTACTTTTTGGTGTGGCTTACTAACAAGTCTGACAAAAATTTCAAGGTGAAGCAAATCAAAGTAGAATGGGTTATGTGGCAAGAAGTAAAATGATAAAAAGCTCAATCTGACTAGATACAACCCTTCAAAAATACAGAACGCTTGACTCTCTATTAACCTCTATCAAGCTAAACATGTTGCCAGTCATTTAATACCCCTATGCGCATACTGACCTTTCTTAAAGCAAGATTTAAGCATTTTCACATTTCAGAAATTAGGTCATCTATTGTGTGTAAATAAAAGGCCAGGCTTTACATTTAAGTCATCATTACCCAAGCAAGTGAGCTTACATTAATGTTTTACACTTATTACGATTCTGTTTCTTGTTTTAGGACAGCAACACTGCTGGACACGCTGAGACTAAAATAAGTGATTATTCTGAAAAGCTGGACTGGGTCCTTATGTAG